CTGTCTTTCTTGAGGCAATCACATGGCTCTCTGTGTCTCTCTATCAGTTGTACTTTCTTTTCCAAGTAAAATGTTTCTAGTTATATATTTATATACAGTATATTACTGTGTGCACATATTTTATGGAACTTAACTTGGATTAGGTAACAATAGACAAAACAGTGGCATTGACTTTGGCTCAGTTACATGACTCTTTGCCAGTAGAACAAACTCACTGTGTTTGGAATTGTATCCTAAGTCTCTCTATGTGAGTACAGGGAATAGGGATGTTATGTGTTAAAAATTCAGGTCTCCGCAAAGGGACAGCAAATGCAGAGAAGCATAGTTGTGCAGACCCCTGGAATCATTAAAATGCCTTTTTCTTTTGGTAAAATACAATGACTAAAACACGAGTATGCCACACTAAGAGAAACCCTAAGGCCTTATTCACACTGGGCATACATGTCTGTGCGGCGTGCATGCCCGAAAACAGCCAATCCCGGAACGGACAGGTGATGCGTGTGATTGCGCACAGCAGCCGGTTCTTACCTATGGGAGGATGCGACTGTACGTGTCATTCATGCGTCCAAGTGCGGACACCCTTACCCACATGGATGGGCAGTTCAGGTGTGTGTATGACAACGTACAGTTGCATCCTCCCATAGGGAAGAACAGGCTGCTGCGCGCAATCACACACAGCACCTGCCCCTCCCGAGATCGGCTGTGTACGGGTGTACAAGGCGCACGGATGTGTACGCCCAGTGTGCAAAGAACATCCATGCATGTTAAACTGTGGTCAACATCTTGCGTGGAGACCTGATAATTTTAGGTGTCTTTTTGGTTCCTAGAAAGAGTCTTAGTGGGTAAACAGTCCTTAAGAAGATAGAAGGCCAAATAACTTTTATAAAACAAAATATCAAAAAGAAAAATTAATAGCTTTCTAGCAGAGTTCATACAGCGGGTCATACCAAAGACAGGCACTTTCCAGTGGAGTTCACAAAGTGGTTAATCGCAAGAGAACAACTCTGAACTCCAGTGCACACAGAAAGGCTCTCACACTTTTCCAGAGCAGTTTGCAAAGTGGATCATAGCAGAGGAGAAAAGCAATTGTAACTAAGGGGTCTATTCACGAAGCTGCCGAAGGATCTGGCCGTAGCTTCGGCCGATCCTTCGTCTAGCTTTGGCCCCAGGACCCCTTCGGTTCAGTAGAACCGAAGGGGTGCTGTACGGGCTATTCACAATAGCCCGTACAGCTCCCGATCATGACCGAGCGGCTCAGCCGAGCCGAACGCATATGCATCAGCTCAGCTGAGCCGTGCTGAAAGCCGCTCGGCCTGCTTCTGACAGACTTTACACATCGCATATACTGTACTGTATATAAATATATACATATTTATATTTGTTTGATAATAACTTATTTGCTATAGGGACCTCAAGTGCGGCTGTGGCATCCATAAAGAACTACACAGAATATTTAGTGAATGTAATGCTATAGCACATAGCAAGCTTCCAGAGACTGTCTGCAGACATGCAAAAAAAGAGGATCTGGGACTGTGGACATGCTACAAGAGATGTTGGAGACCTGAGACATGCTTCAGAAGTCATAGACTGGAGAGAGGTTACATGAAACTGCTAGAGATCACTGCTATTACAACATTTTTACAAATAAATGCCTCCATGTTTATGCACCCTACAACCCCCTTATAAATTACTTGTGCCGTATTTGATATCTCTGTTATCAAGAAATATCTTATTTAAGATCAAGGGGAACACAAAATAGCACAGAAAAAAGTAAGACTATTGTAAAAAATTAACAAAACCATTTAACTACTTGAAGTCAGTCTAAAGAATATTTTCCTTTACTGGTTTGAGTAAGCACCAAAATCCTGGAGGGCCACACAATAAGTGGGCACCAGGGGCATATCATGTTGTCTGTGGAATTCAGATTTTGATTCTGAAACATCATTAGGATTTTGACCTGCAAACTGTGCACTTCGGGTCTACACTGCCCACATCTCCCGCTTGCAGGGTATATCGTGAGAGTATTTACTTGTGGAGACAATATCCTTTTATAATTTTATAGCAAAGAACAATAACAATACCATTATGGGATTGATTCACTATCAAAGTGTATGTTCACTCAGCTTAGTAAATAAGATGGAATCTTGTTCACTTTGAACACCCAATCATGTAGTAGGGAAAAAAAGGATGTTTGTTGCACATGATTGGATGATTGGAGCTTCCTATTATTTAATAATTGAAAAGAATACTTGTTTTGCTAAGTGAAACTATCTACTCCATTAAAGGAGAACTATGGGGCAACCTTTTTTGCCCATAGTTCTCTTCAGGGTCACAGGAGGACATATATTAATGTCCTCCGGTGACCAAAAACTCAACATATAGCGGGCTGATTGACAGCTGGCTCTGCCTCTCTAGAGGCAGAGCCATCTGTGCCTGCCCCCTCCTCCATCCGTTCCTCCGGTCAGCACTGGAGAAACAGAGAGGGGAGAGTCGGAATCCCTGCGGGGAGAGGATCGGGAAGTCAGCCATCAGCGGTATGTGTTCGCTGACTTCCCGATCAATAGAGCAGACCTGTGACAGCTGCAGTGTCACAGGTTGGCTTGAATTATGGGGATGAGTGTTTTTCACTCATCCCATAATTCTCATTTATTAAATTAACCATTATAAATGCACAATATGGTTCATTCTATTTTAAAAAAAACAAAAAACTTCCAATTGTTCATGGTAGTCTCAAATACAAATTATAAGACTTGTACTTTAGGTTTCTTTTCTTAACCTGCTAGAAAGTGGCACATTTTTTTTTTCCAGAATGAATACTATGGTAACGTGCCATTTTCAGTCAGTGCAGTGTTTTTCTGTACTTAGTGATACCATTTATATCAGAGCAGATGTAGAAAATGAATCTATAATAATAATGTTTTACTGTGTGAGTTTTCAGCATCAGAAATGTATCAGAAAAAAAACTTCTTTCATGACACAAAATCATACCATTCCCTACCATCCCCAATATGCCACTATCTCTCCTCATCCCCCATCTATATTTGGACTCATTCATTCACACTACATAATGATAAGTGCCTTGACTGATGAGATGTCATTTACTAGCAAACAGTTCCAAAAATGTCCCATGAGCCTTTGTTTTTATGCCTCATGGCATTTATCTTCCGAGATTATGATAATTAGGGAAGATGTGCCAGAGCAGATCTCCGTACTTGATAACAATATGCTGTATTGCAAAACTATTTTTTTTATCTCTTTCCCCCAAAGCTGTATTTTTAATGTATTTATTTAGTTTATGTAAAGATTTGCTAATAATTTAACATCATATCAATAGAATGTATTGTCTTTCACAAAACTGGATTTGACGTTGTGAACTTTCTACACAAGCCTTGTCTGAGATGTATATCATGTTATTCTTTCGGGGGGCTCTTTTTCCTTCCATTCTTTCTAATTCTGGCCTCCTACAAGCTTCTGTTCTCTCAGTCAAGCAAGCAGACCTGCAGCTTCCTCCCACGAGATCAGCATGTGCTTCTCCTGAATTTCTATGTGTTTTTGTTAACATTTATCATCTAAAAACTGAAATGTGCTAGTCTCCACTACCGCAACCAAATTATATCCCAAAACCTTATCCCAACATTTTCTAGTGCATGTTATGTGGGTAAAGGCTTGTGTAGATGGGCATTGTTGTCAAAAGCTGTGTTTTGCATTCAAACACAGTGCTGATCAAATGTATGCGTTCGAACGTGAAATGCAGCAAAAGGTTATGTTTGACCTGCTTCACCTACAATGCAAAGAATTCACAGTAGGGCATGGGTCCAAAGAAAAGCAAGGCAGCTCAAACGCAGCCTCAGAGCTGTCATTCACACTGCACCATTGACGTTAATGTGAATTTGTTGACCTGCATTTAACATATGTTTCAAATGCATGACAATGGTGCCCTAATGATGCCTTCTGGTTTAAGTAGGCAGCACATTATCTTCCTTTTAGAATAAGGGTTTCTCAATGTTTTTTTTAGTGATGGCAACTTTTAATAGTATACAAAATTTCAAGGCATCCTAGTCTAATATGGGGCTCCTCTTCACATAAAAGTACTTAGCACCCCCTTCTTTAACATCAAAGTCCTCAGTCCCCCTTGCACATCAAAGTCCTACCCCATACACAGTGCAGCTGCAACAGAATGGCAGAGGTTATGTGACGGAACAGAGGCAGGCTCCAGGTACAGACTTTCCTCTCTCCTCTTTTCCAAATGCTAGGGCAGCAATGAATGCAGCCCATCCTTGATTAGCTCCATAGTTTTCCATGGTGCTGGCAGCTGACTACCTGCATCATGGAAACGCATGATGCTGTGCAAAAATACTGGATAAACAGTGTCCCTAATTGAATGAATGGCACCCCAGATGAACCCAGATGGCCCCCAGGTTGGGAAAGACTGTTTACATTTTATAACTCTATAACTATAACTTATAATGTTTAAAAACAATGTCATCTGAATATGATCACAGCATAGTTCAGTGGACTTAAACATTGATATATAAGTTTAAATCATCATCTTCACAACTCTTTACCAGTTTGAATGATGACTCATCATAATAGAAAGCTATGTCATGGGACATATTCACATTAAGAAGCACATTATAAATAATCATTGTGAATTATATAAATCATAATAATTACAAATCATGCCATCATCATCATTATCATCATTATCATCAAAATAGTGAATTGAAAGATGCACAGCGAAAGTGAAAAATTGCTTTAGTCAATAATGGTTAATCTACCCATTAATTTAATTTCAAGTTATTTACACTCTAGTTGTTGCAGTTGTATTTGGCTTTCTTGTTTCTTCTCATGATAGCCACCAACTAACCTACTATGTGAATTCATGAAATATTTTTGTATGTGTCACATTTCACTTCTGTTTATAATACAGTGAACATGCCCAGTTTACTGTACTTAGAATTTTGAATTGAACTAACTTCTATTTACCTGCTCCATTCTAGAATTCAGAAGGAGATTCACAGATGTTAACAGAAGTTGATCTTTTCATATCGACACAAAGGATCAAGGTCTTAAATGCCGATACACAGGTGTGTTGCAAATGGGTAGTTCATGTTTTTTTCTCTTTACACAATGCCTTTAAAGTAAACATGGTAGTAGATGCTAGTTTGTGCTGTTATCAATTTTAATACACAACACTTATTCTGTATTTAGCTTTTATTTTACCCATTAATTGGTGAGAAGGAAAGTGTCTGACATTATTGTAAAATTCCTTGAATGTTCTTTCCCTGGAAGGTATACACACGTAGCAAGGAACATTTTCATATAGGAACCTTGAGATCATATTGTCATCCTACACGATGGTTTGTGGGAACATAAATACTCTGTGTAAAAGTCTACCTCTGCAGTGCTAACTACTAATCTTTATGAATGAAATAACACTCTACAGGTCTTCTTTTGAAAGACTCTTTCTTTTTCTCTCCATGAAAAGATTCGTAGATGCAGATATATTTAATGTGTTTGTGTTTTCTTTTGATAAAGTAGTAAGGACATTGTGGTTCTCATATGACATTATGACATTGACTACTCTCTACAAAAGGTGCCGTGGTATGTTCATTTGTGGTAGTAAATTTATTACCTTACATGTAGTTGACACAGAACCAAAACTGATTTCATCCACACTCTCTACATGGAAAGATTCGGTTACAGTGGATGGAGATAACTTGAATGAGTTTGTGTTTTTTATTGGTAAAGTAGTAAGTTCCTTTTTTTTTACATCATATGACATGGCACATTAGGCTGCTCTCTAAAAATGGCAACGTGGTCTGTTTATTTGTGGTAGAAAAATTCTTGCCTTAAGGTGCCCATACACCTTACGAATATCGGCCGATATTCGTAAGATTGATGGGCAGTGTACAACCGCACATACTGTACAATCGATCGACTTTTGACTAACCAGCATGTTAGAAAACTTTGGGCGTACGATTTTCGCAAGGTTGGTGCGATTTCCATACGTCAAAATTCGTACGATCTACACTGTACATGTGCAGACGAAAATACGTGCAGTTGATTACCACAATTCATCCAGGTACTTTTTTTCTAATTACCGCTGATCCAACCTTGCGATAATTGGGGCAGGATGGGGCCGCCGTACGAAAATCATACGACGGTTCGATCATCGGACGAAAAGTGTCGTCCTATGATCGCAAGGTGTATGGGCAGCTTAGATGTAGGTGATGCAAACCCAAAAGTGATTTCAGAAAAAATAAAAGGGATCAGAAAAGATCAGGCTAACTTTATTATTTCCCTCATGATGCCAGTCTGTCTGTCAGCTGTTGAGCATATTGGTGTGTAGCCCACATTACGAAGTCTGACTCTGTGAAACTGTGTTTCTGTTCTTTTCTGTGTTAAGTATAGCCTGACATTATGGCAAGGGTCAATTATTATCACAAAGTGGGAACTTAATTGTAGCCCTTCAACTTTAGCTGATGGGGCTTTGTTTGACTCATTTCATTTTCTTCGGCTTTATAATGCAAGCACAGTGTAAGAGATTGTTTGTCAGCAGGCAGGGCAGAAAGCAGTATTTGAGTACATTGATCTACGTGCCATGACAAATCCAGAAATATGGTTCCTTATACAACTGACATTCTTCATTGAACTGAACTGTGGGAATGCTGCTCTTTGCTTGGCTGAATTATTAATTGTTCTGTCACAGCATACATGAATAAGAAAAGTATAAGCATGGAAATACATTATTATAAACTTTAACTACAAAAGAATATTGGCCAGTGCAGATCTACCACTCTAATTACACATTTCCTTGACCTGAGACTCAATATACCACTGAATCAGTGATACAGTAAACACAAAAAAGCCTTCATATTTAAGGGTCAGTCTGTCCAAAACTGACATTTAGGCTCTGAGTACATGCTGGCAGGTTAATTAAGAACTAACTTCTTATAGCTCATTGAGACGTTAAGGGTTCTATGTATAAACAATTTGCACAGCTATTGGCCCTGCAGATCTCTGTGAATGTTTGTTCTGTGCAAATGGATGCATAAAACAAACATTCTTGTTATATTTTTTAAGTTGAATGTATTTTCTAATGTGACCTTGTAATACCGAATTTGGGCCACTAAATGAAGTTGAGGAGCAAAGGGAGTAAATACTTACTCTCTATGCTCCACAGCACCACCTTGTACCCAAAATAGATGAGGTTGAGGTGCATAGGAAGTAAGTAAATATGTACTTCCTATGTTCCTCATCTCCATCAAATGGCTAAAATAGGTATTACAAGATGACATTCAAAAAACATTCGATTTATAAAGAAAACATAACAAGAAATGTTGTTTTTTGCATCCATTAATGCAGAACATACATTCACAGAGATTCACAGGGCCAGTTGTTTATAAATAGAGCCCTAGTAGTCAGATTTCAACACCTGAGTTCCCATCTCCGCCTGCCTGTTGTTGGCATTAAAATGGTTTATCAGTGTTGATTGTTAATACAATGAGACCGTAGTGGGATAAGTCAAATACTGTTAGCTACAGGGCAAAGACAAGATTTTGGCTGATAAATCTTACCCCTGAGTAATTGAGACATATAAACAGTGGTTGTTTATCTGTAAGAATCTGTGGGAGAAACAGATATTTGCACACCTGAAAGCGTGGAATACGTACCTCAGCCAGGGAGCAGTGAAGTGGTGGGGTGGAGAAATTAGGGGGGATTGGCTGCTTTTGCAGGGTTGGCCTTATTTTAAAAGTGACCCTGTGGTGACAGGGGTCACTTTAAGAAATGCTATTTTTTTGCACCTGCCACTGTAGGTACTAATGTGGTCATCTTTTTAGTATTAAATTACATGTATTCTTTGCTTGGCTAAGGGAAAGCATTCACAACCTGTGTGAAGCATGTATGTCAGTAATTAAAGTGATAATATTATGGACATACCTCCCAACTGTCCCTCATTTGGAGGGACTGTCACTCATGTGGAATCCCCCAGTCCCACTTTCCTTCTCAGTTGTCCCTCTTTTAGGTCTGATGTACAGATACTGTATCTATGAGAGAGTTCTATTTAACTACCAGAAGTGTTCTTATGTACTAACACCTTTGCTATTTTAAAAAGCTGGTATAACAGAAAACCAGTGGCAAAAAAAACAAAAACCGTTTGTGTTTAACCAATCAATCAACCAACCAATAGACCAATTCTTAATGGTCAGCATAGCTGTAGATGTGGCGGGGATGTGTCCATTGCCTAAATACATCTCAGAAAGTTTGGAGGTGTGTATAGACACTGTCCCATGACCGTGGCCCTGGATTTGGGTGTCTGCACAGTGAACATTGATCTTTGTGCACCATTGTAATATAAATTCATGTGGCTCTTTTGACTTTTGTGCTAGATTACAGCATGTACATGGGACTCACAAAACATCTTGACATTGTTAGGGGCCAAAATATGTGCTTTTAATTTGCCAGATAAAGATTGTCTGAATTTCCCAATGGTGTCTCCCTTGTGGCAGGGAACACAAACGTACACAGGCACATTCAATTTATTCCTTGGTGTATTGGTAAATTTTTTTTTTTTTTTTATAACTCCTGTGAAATTGTTTTGAGAATTGATGTTAAGCTGCGCCTAGTTGAAGAACCTCCTTAGCAAATTGTATTTCTGTGACACTAATGCCTCGGGGGCTGACTTTTCATGAGCTCTTTTATAAATCCACAGAACTGAAAGAATTAGAAATATCAAAATGGTAAATATTTGTGACTGACATTGCACTTCTCACATAAACATGAAATCACATTTAGATGGTGTAGTTTAGATCTATCTTACCTTAGAGGGACATTGGCACTGTTTTTTTGTGTTTTTAACAGAAAACTATCTCGATTTGTGGTCTGATTTTTTTATTTTAAGTTTTTAAACTGTTGATTTAAACATTTTTACTAGTTTCATAAAATCTTTATTTTATAAATAAGCATTTAATATAGTGGCAGGATTAGCAGCGCATTATGGATTTTCTAAGATAAAGCATATCAGAAGGTGTTTGCATTCAGACTCTCTATGACTGACACTATATATGGCCCCATCTGAGCACAGCAGTCAGGAAGGTGGAAGGTGGAGGTTTGAATCACTCAGCTAATTATGTAAATTTGAGCTTGTGCTGTTGAGCCCTGTAAACAACAGTTTATTTTCGTGAAAATAGCAATTACAAATAAACAGACAAGTAAACATGTGAAAACACGTGAGCTCTATACACTAATCTGAAATGTAAGTATAAAGTATTTATATGCAAAAGTTTATATTTACCTGGCTGACAAAAATGAAAATCTATTTTTCTTTTTTTTATTGTTTTGGAGTATGATAAATAAAGAAAATATATACACACAAACCCTGTACCTTTCATTTCAAAACCATGTAAACCCAAACACTTAAACCAAATATCTTGTTGCACATGTTTCTGTAATGTAAAAAAATGAAAACATTTAAAATATTTCTTGCTTTACTAAAAAGAGAACTATGGGGTAACCTTTTTATCCCATAGTTCTCTTTAGGGTCACAGGAGGACATATACTAACGCCCTCCCGTGACCCAAAACTCAGTATATACAGTGAGGAAATAAATTATTTGATCACCTGCAGATTTTGTAAGTTTGCCCACTTACAAAGAAATGAAAGGGTTATAACCTTTATCATAGGTGTATTGTAAATGATAGAGACAGAATATCAATCAAAAATCCAGAAAAAAACACATGATACAAACGTTATAAATTGAGTTGCAGTTCAGTGAGTAAAATAAGTATTTGATCCCCTTCCAACCAACAATAATTCTGGCTCCCACAGACTGGCTATGTGGTACACAGATTAGCCCTGTCAATTTAAGAACGACAACTCGTTATGTATATAAAACACACCTGTCCATAAAATCTCTTTCTTCCATTCAAACCTCACCACCATAGGCAAGAACAAAGAGCTGTCAATGGACATTAGGGACAAGATTGTAGACCTGCACAGGACTGGAATGGGCTACAAGACTATCAGCAAGAAGCTCGGTGAGAAGCAAACAACTGTTGGAGTGATTATTTGCACATAGAAGGAATACAAAATAACCATCGATTTCGCCTCATGGGGTAAGGATCATCATAAGAAAAGTGTGGGATAAGCCCAGAACTACATGGGAGGAGCTTGTGAATGATCTCAAGGTAGCTGGGAGCACAGTCACCAAACAAACCATTGGTAAGACAATACACCGCCATGAATTTAGATCCTGCAGCGCTCGCAAGGTCCCCTGCCTCAAGAAGGCACATGTACAGGCCCATCTGAAGTTTTCCAATGAACATCTAAATGATTCAGAGAAGGATTGGGAGAAAGTTCTGCGGTCAGATGAGACAAAAATTGAGCTCTTTGGCATTAACCCGACTCGCCGGGTTTGGAAGAAGAACAATGCTGACTATGACCCTAAGAAATCCATCCCTACAGCCAAACACGGAGGTGGAAACATTATGCTTTGGGGCTTTTTCTCTGCTAAAGGTACAGGCCGACTTTGCCGCATTAATGGGCCAATGGATGGGGCCAGGTATTGTAAAATCTTGGATGAACACTGTTGATGGTTCATGGATGGGTCTTTCAGCATGACAATGACCCAAAACATAACACCAAGGCAACCAAGCAGTGGCTCAAGAAGAAGCACATTAAGGTCATGGAGTGGCCTAGTCAGTCTCCAGACCTTAATCCTATAGAAAATGTATCGAGGGAGCTGAAACTTCGAGTTGAGTTATTTGTATCGTGTTTTTTCTGGATTTATGGTCGATATTCTGTCTCTATCATTTAAAATACACCTATGATAAAAATTATAGACCTTTCATTTCTTTGTAAGTGGCCAAACTTCCAAAATCTGCCGGGGATCAAATAATTATTTTCCACACTCTAGTGGGCTATTGCTCGCTATATACTGAGAGCTCCGCAGCCGGACGGATCCTGACAATACTGTTGAGATCCACCCAGCTATGCCTGCCCCCTCCCCCGTCTGTACTTCCAGTCAGTGCTGGAGGATCCGAGAAGGGAGGGGGGAATCCTTGTGTTGAGCAGTGACTGATAGTCACTGCTCTCTGCAGGGAGATGATCGGGAAGTGAGTGAGCAACGGTATGTGTCCGCTCACTTCCTGATCAATAGAGCTGACGCGTGACAGTTTCAGTGTCACATGTTGGCTCTAACTATGGGGATGAGTGTAATTAATTCTCCTACCAGCAAGGTATACCCACAGACATTTTATTTCCTAGGGTGACAATGCTTACTCAGTTCACGTGCACCATTGTTACTGTTTACTGCATGCTCCTGAGTTGGACTACAATCAGCTGTGCGTACAAACATACACTGGCATGTTTTGCTGCATGTCACTGCAGTGACATTGTGACATTTAGCTGTCACTGGAGTGCACACACTTCCACTGAAAGTTCACATATAAATACTCCACGTATATAGGAAGATAAAAAAAAATTTAATTATATCCTGTGGTACAAAGATAAGTATTTTTAAGAGATTCATTCCAATTTAATTACTTTGTTTTGCAAACTTCATGCAATGTAGAAATATTTTCATTTCAATTTCTTTAACAGATTTATTGTTTTGTGAAAATGTTGGTCCTTATTACACAGTTATCTGATACAACATCCGACAATGAAATTCCCTTAAAAACTGAGATGCCACATTTGGGTCACTGGTGTCATTTTGGTCAACCACAGCCTTCTTAAAACCCAGAGAAATCTCAGAGGATATATAGGTTTCCCAGCTCTTCATTGTGTTCAGATAAACAAAGTTAGTTATCACTGGTACTGGGTAGGTGATGAATGACTTTGTTTATCAATAAAGCTATGTAGTCACCATATTAGAACTGACCTGGTGATCACAGGAGTTAGGGTTAGTGTTAGGGTTAAAGTTAGCATTATGGTTAGGATTAGGTTTTGCATTAAGGTCAGGGTTGGCTTTTTGTGTCAACAATGCCATGTGATCACTATGCCAGCATTAACATGGTGATCACATGGCTTAATAAGAAAACAGTTGGTTAGTAATAGTGTTAAGGTTAAGCTTAGCACTAAGGTCAGTTTTATGGTTGATGTTAGTATTGGGGTTAGCCTTAAGGTTAGCTTTAGAGTTAGTGTTAGGGCTGGTGTTAGCATTATCTCAGTATTAGGATTAGCCTATGGGTTCTATAGCCTCTGGGAAGGGGAGTTCTTGGCTTGATAACATCCACCCATGTCAACTCAGTTGTCAGTCCTAAAAATTAGGAGGGGATGAATGTGTATTATTACAACTGCAGAATCATGACTCCTGCTTCAGTCAGCTCAGTCCATTTCCTCACATTGATCTGTATTGCTATATTCCCTCAGCCAGCAGATAAGCAGGTAATCACAAAAGATACAAAACATATTTACCAGTCTTAGTCAGGGTATATTGATGTCACCCCGATTACCCTTTTGTACAATATAGTTGTTTACAAGAGCCTCTGTCATAAATATAGCTCTTCTCTCTTCTTCTACAAAAAAACAGCGGTGAACACAATTTTGACTTGATAAAATATATGCCATGCCACAAGTGTAGTGTATTTACCTTGCTGTAAAAGTCTGCTTCAATATATGTTTTCTGTGATGGTAAAGTATTAGAATTCAGGAATTTTTCATTTTTACCTTTACTGTGACATCCATAATACATCTGCCCACAATGAATTGTATAAATACATTAGGTTCCATCCTAACCTTCAGATAATCTGTACATATTTGCAGGTACATGAATGTCAGCGTTCTCCTAATATTGAGAGAGAACAAATCAAAGTGACACAAAGGCCACAGTTAGAAAACCAAGAGAAAATAAAAGCAGTAAGAGCTGCCAGTGAGATAACACAGTGATTTATACCTGTTCTCTGCCTGCTGAGCAAAGATAGGATATTTTCTGACCACATAATCTCCTCATCTACACTACAACGTCGCTGGTTCCCTGGCATATATAAAAAAGAATGTGAAAGTCATATCTTACTATGTAAAAGAAATGTGAGCTGTTTGGAAATGGTGGAGAGGTTTTATAGTGAAAACAAAGTCCTTCAGGCTGGATAAGCTCCTATTCAGCAGAGAAAGTAGCTCCCCATGTTGGGAAGTCGTTAGGTTCAGAGGTCGGTACTCCTGATACCTCTGACTGCAGTAGGATCAGACCAGGTTCAGAGGTGAGGTCAGGCAGTAAGAAGGTGGAACTAGTATACTTTATAACGAAATGCAGGGAAAGGACGATATGTGAGATATAAAAATATAAGAGATATCAAATTAAAGCAGAAAATGCACATTAAAATATTTTTAAAAAACCCAATAGGGAGAGTGAGATTGTGTAAAAACAACATGATCAGCAAGTTCAAGATCCACATAAAAACTGCCCTTGTAAAAAAAAAGTATATAACTCCCTCTGCTGCTACCTGACTGCAGAACGCCTCTCTAATCAAAAGGATTTACTGGCTGAAATTTGAGCAAAAACCAACACTTCCAGGAGTGCTGATCTCCTGGGCCCCTGCAGCTCTCACTGGTTCTTCCTGTTGATCTCCACTCATTACAGAACGCAGTAGTGAGATAGAGGTCAGCAAGGCCTCAGCACTCAGTGGTTTCACCTGCTGACCTCGCCATCACTACAGGATATAGTAATGATGTGGAGGTCGACAGAAAGAACTACTGAGTGCTAAGGTCCTGTTGACTTCCATGTCCTTACTGTGTCTTGTAATGAGTGGAGGTAAGCAGGAGGAACTAGTGAGGGCTGCAAAAGTGTTGATATGCCAGCAGGCTTTGGACAATGTTGGCTCAGAGTTGAGTTCTGGTGGAACTTGTAGTAGGAAAGGAAAATATTCCTTCTGTTAATTTGCTGGTACACCTTTTCCTGTAGTTATTACATTACTACTTGCTAAAAATGCGTAAGCACTTTTAATGTTCATAGCCTGACCACTGGTGTAAATTAGTTTGCAGAAAATAATGTGTTGTGATCTTTTGTGATTTGATCTTTATTCATAGGAAACAATGATGGACCATGCACTACGGACAATCTCTTACATTGCTGATATTGGTAACATTGTTGTTTTAATGGCAAGACGCCGAATGCCAAGATCTGCATCTCAAGATTGTATAGAAACCACACCAGGTGCTCAGGAGGGAAAGAAGCAGTACAAGATGATCTGCCATGTCTTTGAATCAGAGGATGTAAGTAAATTATTTGTATTGAATTACTAGTAAAATTAGATGAGGGTTTACCATGGAGACATTTGTTTTCCCCCTGTAAAGTGTATGATGATGTATAAATTACCCTGGTAAATTAAATATTGTGGGGTGACACTCACAATAAGCCATCCTAGATTGTTAGATTAATAGTTTGCAAACATGGTGGAATACAAAAAGCAGCAGGAAAATAATTATACAGTAAACAACCCCCCCCCCCCC